CAGTGCGGATGGTGTAGTTCCAGATGCCGCCGTTGCCCTCGTCGGGGGAGGCGCGCATAACGACGGCGCCGTAGCAGGCCGTGACGCCGCGGAGGGAGCTACGACACTCACGGACGAGGCTGCGCTCATTCTCCAAGCGAGTTACGTTGACGCGAGGGTTGGAGCGCGCGACCTGGTCCTCGAGGCGATCAAACAGGCGGTCGATGGCGCCGCCCTCGTGGCCATTGTTGAGGAGGAGGAGCTTCTCGCGGCCGGACTCGGCAGCGTAGTCGAGGGCGTCGGCGAGCGAGGCAATGGGAGCCGCGTCGCCAATGCCAAACTCGGCGTTGGGGACAAAGAGGCGCTGGGCGAAGCTCAGGAAGCCGCTGATGATGATGGGGACGAGGAAGCCGACGACAATGGTGGTGAGGACATGGCGGAAGAGGATGTAGCGGTAGTTTTTGGACATGAGCGTCCACGTCTGCTTGATTAGGGCCATGGCCTTTTTCGGGTCGAGGGGATTCCTCGAACTCGCGGCTCAACAGGCCGAATGTTTGCGGTTCTGATGCCGTATATGCGATAGATAGTGTGTTTGCAAGAAGGCTATGGTGATGGTTCGGACACTTTTACCGCACAGGCGAACAAGTAAAAGAAACAAAATACAGTGAAAAGGAAGCAAGGAAAGAAAGAAAGAAAAGAAAGAGAGGGACTGCAATGCCTCCGTCGACAAAGAAACGCGGCCGGGCAGTGCAACGGCAGCGAGTTGACAAGACCCTCTTTCCGAGAGCGGGCTGCGATGGACAACAGCGCGCGCAGTTGTTCGGATGACGAGTATACAACTGCTGGCGACGACGACGACGATGAGCGGCGGGTCGAAAATATAAACCATCCGAAGGACCAACGAAAAGGTGGCAGATTGGCGGCGGACAAGGAGACAAGCAGGGGTGGGTGGGTGGTGGTGGGTGTGTGGACCGCAGGGGTGCCCTTTCCTCCCAGATCGATGCGGCTGCCTCTTCGTCTTATCACAAGAAGAAGGAACTTAGGAAGTGAATGAGTGGCATGGCCTGACATGACTGTACCCCGAAAGGAAGCGGACTGTGCCTGCAATGAATGTGCGAATACAGATAGATAGATAGACCATGGCCGTCCGTCTTCAACAATAATTTACAACCCACGATGCAGATGCAGATTGCTTATGCCTCAGAATGAGCCTCACCGGGATTGATCATAGCGCCGGGTAGGCTACCCAGCTGGCGCGCCTCAAAGGTTACAGGCTTTCCATTCTTTCTTCCTCTTCCACGCCAGTCTTTCCCCCGCCACTAAGGTTGCAAGATTCCCCAGACTAACAACCGCCATCACAGAAGCTAAAGCCAGCAATCCACCACCATCTATCCTCTCTTAAGCACATAATTACTTATTATCGTTATCACCTCAGACGGGAAGCGAATTGCTCACGCACGACCCGCCCGCCCAGCCTTGGCGCCATGCCCCATTACGCGCGTTCCAGGTGCTCAGCCTCCTCGTTTGTTGCCTGTATTCGGCCTTCGGATATAAGTCAGACTCGCTCGCACTGGCCACGTTATCGCGCCTCTTGGCGAGCTAATATTAATTGCACTATCCGTACTCCGTACTCCGTATACGCTGTGTAAAGTCCCATGGGGCAACAACATGGCATCATCGACTTTTTCCATCTTCTTCCTACCCATCACCTCGGCTCTATTACCTATGTCATTTACCGAGAGCTCATCTCGATGGATTACAAACTCAATACCCCTTAAGCTTAACTATCCTCTCAAGGGTCCGAGTTAGATGTCAGCTCCGGCCTGCCCTACCCTGTATCTGTGTAAACTATACGCGGAAATAGCATCAGCCTCAGTCTTGCTCAGCCAGTCGGCTACCCTGTACCCTTGACGATGGCCTCTTTGTATTCCCCCACGGTTTACGATTGCGTTGGGCTGGGGCACTGGGCATCACTCTTACTGTTTATTGGTTCTATAGTCTCTTACTATTGCTTCTTCCACCTCGGATTGCCCTTCTTCTCACCATCATGTCCAGCACCACTCGTGCCGCGCAAATCATCGCCATAGTATACAGGCATCGTTGCCGATTGTCCCAGGATCGCTACTAAACCCCTTGAATCAGAAACCCATTTCCTGCTTCCATGCAAACATAGAACATATGGTATCACATGCAACGCACCCATTCCCTATTCAATCAAAAAGCCTCCCCCTTCATCGTCATCCGCCATATCAAACTCCTCCGTCACATCGCTCGGCGCATCCTGCAACTCAGCCTCCATCTCCGCCTCCTTATCCGCCTGCTCCCTCTCCTCGGCATCCACGCCGCTCCATATCCTCTCCCGGATCCGCAGTCCCATCAGGAACCGCCTCCACACCTTGAGCGCCGCATTCCTCCGCCGCTCGTCCTCCACCTCCTGCTCTAGGTCGCCTAGACACTCCGTCACCGCTCGTATCGCTTCTTCATATTCCTGCCCAACCACGATGCCGTGCAGAACCGCTGTCCCGTGGCGTCCCTTGAACTGAAATCCTGTCAGTGCCGGGGCGTAGTCGATGCCCAGCAGAAACGCCGCACGTATGGCGTGTTCGTGTATAATATGCACGCCGCCCCGCGGCACCATGCTTGGAACGTATACATCAATATTTCCAAACTTGTTCTTTGGCACCCGACCGTTTCGGACAGGAGCCGGTACGTATAGTTCCGTCTGGTCTTCCGTGTAAACCGGGGTTCCCGCATCTCCCTGTGAGTCCTCGTCCTCGTTGCCATCCTGGTCTCTCTTGGCTCTCTTGGGTAGCCATTTGGCGGGAATCTCGTTCGGTCTGACCTCCCTTCCCATCCGATACCACTTATCCGCGCTCCTGGCAATGCGCACATCTTTGCGACGGTAAATCTTTTCCAGGGGTCCACGAGTCCCAGCACTCACGGTACCCGAAGGAGTCGCGTCGGGGACAAGAACTTCATGCCTTCGTAGATGCCGCTCCAGCGCATAGATGGGATGGTCCTTGAAGTCCTGAACATTCCTGGGCATGGGTTCCCTGGTCGCAATGGAATTGAGCTCAATGTCCTCAATCTGGTCCAAGTCGCTGCCCGACCTGGACTGGAACATCTTCATCGTCTTTCTCCACCATTTCTCGCCATCATCCTCGGCACTCTCGACGCGCAACCTTCGCGTCTTGGCCACGTACGCCTTTGCATATCGCCTTGTGACATCCTTAGCCGTTCCGTCCTCATTGAAGGCGATAACATAGGAGAGACAATTCTCTTTGTCTGTGATGGGCGGCTCCAGATTTTTGGGCTTCCAGAAAGAATGGGTGACGAGGGCATCTACCGGCTGCCACTTCTGATGGCCAACATCGAGTACTTCTACCCAATATACCGGGTAAGCCGATTCACGAATGTTCTTTGGAGCTTCAAATACCGGGCGAGATTTTGCTGGTGAAGCTGTCGGAGGCTGAAAGTTGCGGGCAGCTGCGTTTGGATGCCCAAGCCTTCGCCGTGCCGATGGTGATTTGGAGGTTGATGCCGCCGCCGTAGGTTTGGATTGAGTGGCGGGCGGCTCTGCCCTCGCTGGCTTTGCGGGAGCTGGTTTGTCCTTGGGCTTGGGCAGACTCGGGCCACCCGTGGCATACGCGAGTGGTTGCAGCGAGCATACAAGTCTTGCGCGTACCCCCACGCTCCTCAGCAATGCGCAGAAGAGCTGTGCGCCTACATCGCGTGACCCTTGTAGCCTTTTCGCCGCTTCGCGGAAGTCTTGGCGATCAAGACATGAGTCCATGTCTTCTGGAAGCCGATACTGCAAATCTTAGCCCAAAAACCTGGTATCACAAAGGAGGACACGTACATTGGCGAGGTGCTCCATCTCATCAGCCCACAGAGCCCTTCTCAGACCCCTCTCGGTGATTTCAAACTTGGTCCTCCACATGACGATAGCCTGCTGAAGACCCGTCTTGAGGCTCTCCGTCCGGCCAAACTGTGGCAGGTTCGCCCCAGGTGTAAGATACTTGACCGTCTTGTCTGTCAGATGCGGTCGAAGATATTCCTGAACCCTCGCGTCATTGCACCAATGATTGCGCCGGGAGACGTGCGACAGCAGGGCCAGAAGATGCGCCTTGTGAACCTCGATGCGTCTCCCACGCTCCTCCTTCGTTAGGGGCCTGCGCTTCTCGGCAGTCTGCTTCGTCGGTGTTGAGGCGGACCTTTGCGCCGTCAGGTTGAGCTCCAGTTCCTTAGGTCCCTCTAGTGCCGAGGAAGTGGCCTTCATAATCTCAGCAAAATCAACGTCCTCAAACTCTATGCCGTCCTCTTCATCATCTTCGTCGTCCGACTCTCTCTCCATCGTTTGCAGGGTTGGTGGAGGGAGGACCACATCTTCAAAGTCAACATCCTCCTCCTCATCGTCGTCATCGCTTTGATGCTCCTTAGAAGACTTCTGCTGTGACTTTTCCACAGGGGCCGGCCCATCCCGTGAGCTTGAGCCTGGCCGTCTACGTTTCTGAGGTCGTTCATCCGTTGGGCTGGGGAGTGAAGCTACGCCGGCTTCGTTCAGCATTTGCTGGTAAATGTCGGGCTGCGCATTGCTGGAACGAGTTGTGCGTGTTCGCCCAGTTATTGCGACGGCATTTCTCTTCCTACCCGCCATCCTGGCATTGGTTTCATGGTGATCCGACCGGTCTCACTCGGATCAAGGCGATTGTAACGTGACGTCTTTTCACGACAGCACATGGCGTCATTGTCCAAGCGCGTGATCACGTGACATCACAACTACTTAAAGGCCCACCAGTCATGAAGCAGCAGCCATTCTGTGCAGTTCATGGGCAGTTTTGTGTAACAGTGCCATACTACCAAATAGCTTAGTTGCTGGAGAACACAAATTATGATTTCAGAAGACAATGGACATCCGCCTCCTAGTGTCCTTCATCCCTTAGAACGACGCATCCGCCCATTGGTCAGTAGCTTATGTGCAAGTTGAAGCCCATGAAGCGTCATCCAATGAAGGACAATTCGCCGAGATCGTCTAGTTGGTTAGGACACTGTGTTGTGGTCCATCAATTGCTAAACCGCAGAAACCTGAGTTCGAATCTCAGTCTGGGCAAGAGTCTTCTTTTTGGCCCACGAGGCCTTTTTGCGCTGCCATTGTGTGGACATTTTCAGCGTTTATATGACCAACTAGTAGTACTTTAATCAAAGCTTCAGCTGTCGGCACCGTGATGCTTGCGGTGGAGCAGTGGAGCGGTAGGGCTGCTGGGTCTGCAATAGCTACAGTCTGATTCGCCCTCAACATGTCGTGGGACAGGGGGGAGCTGTTGAGTCCCCATATCCGTTTTTGCGGCTGGCAACGTTGAACCGAGGTTATCAAAGTCATGTAGATAGATACGTCTATTCAAGGCTGTCAAACAACTACCTCGACCTACCAACCTACCTAGGCATGCAAGAACTTCCACAGCACCATGGTATCCTTCCTTATCCAATCGCCGTCCATGTTATCGCCAAAACGCCGCAAAACACACGCAACTGGGCTCCAAGGCCCTTATACGTCCTCTATAGGAGCACAGGCGCTTATTTCGTGAGCCAGCCAAGGTAATCGGCCACGATGAGAGTCACCATTCTGCCACGTTGTTAGCCGCGGTTACACGTCAAATATCAGAGCTGGGCAAACTTACGCGTGAGGAGCAATGCGGACATAGTAGGTGCCGAATCCACGGTAGAACCTCGTGATGCCCTCCTGCTTGGCCACCTTGGTGAAGCAGTCGACCATGCCCTTGTAAGGCAACTTGCCATCAGGGCCCTTGGACTGCTTCTGTAGACGCGTCTTGACAAAGTCGAAGGGCAGACTGAAGAAGCTAGCAAAGAAACCAGCGAGAGCGCTGGCAGTGAGGGTCTGGGTCTGGGGAGACCAGTCGGTGCTCTTCTTGAGCTGTGCCTTGGCCTCGCTGAAGAAGGCGAGCTGGCCAAAGTTGAGTGCCATGGCGCGCACGACGGTGGGCGCAGCGCCCGCCCAGAGGGCACCAACACCCTCGCTCTTGGCAATGGAGCTCAAAGCGTCAATGACAGACTTGTAGTTCTTCCTCTCCGCGAGAGGCTTCAGGCCGTCGCTCTGCATGCGGATCAATGCCAGGTCGGCAGGGTTTCCGATCATAGCAGCGATACCACCAGCCGCCAGTCCAGCCGTGGCTCGCTCTCCGAAGCCGACCTGGCGGCCCTGCTCCTTGGCACGTTGCGAAAGGGAGCTCATGAAGGTGTCGAAGAAGCCAATGCGGGCCGTCGTGTAAACGGCTTGGCGCAAAAGTCCAGCGGACAGACCTGTGTACAGATCTAGGACCTTGCCGCTGGCCACAATCTGACGAGCGACGGCCAAAGGAGAGGCCTTGGGACCTCCTGCGGTTCCTTCTCCAGCCAGCTGGATTCGGACCTTGATCATGTCGACGGGCTGGATGACGGCGGTGGCCACCATGCCACTAAGACCTCCGTTGACGAAGGGTAGGGCTGCGCGGACGGCGGGAGAGTGGAGCGTCTCGGAGACCCAGGCTGAGGAAGCGCCCTTGGTTGCGCCGAGGACGTCGTTGGTCTTGTTGCGTGCCGACTCGGCCGCCTGCTTGAGACCTCCCGAAGTCATCTTGGTGGAAGAGGAGGCTGAGAGGGTTGGAGGTGTAGAGATAAGACGAGTCGAGAAGGGGAGGGGGGAAGCTCGAATAAGACAAGATGCTAGTCACTGGGCTGGACAGGACGAGACTTATAGTTTCTCGACGACAGCCTTTTAGCTAATCTATGCGGTGTGTGTGTGTCAGCTCGGAGATCGGATGCAGCATACGCGAAGCTCATCATGATGGCGGCGGTCGGGGGTTTAATATGTCTGCGAAGTTGGAGGGAGGGTACGCGACAAGGGGGAGTGTAGAGGCAGACGGCAGCTCGCACGGCGCGGCGCAGCTCGGACTTGAGAACGATTGCTCGGCTCACGCCTCCGACCGAGGCGTTGGGCCGGATCATGTCGGGCCTCCGTCATCCACGGCAAAGGCATAGGGAAGCACAGGTAGACTTGAGGTTGAGAGAGGAAGCCGGGTGGACCTGGTCGGGAACTTCAGGGAGGGTCCCGACCGGGGGGTCCCTATTCCAGCCCGGCTGGCGTCTGCATCGTGGTGGGGATGGGGCAAGGCGTCCATGTACGTGTGTGACAGAGGAGAAACATCATGGCTGCTTGGCGAGAAACGGCCAATGCGCGTGGCAGAGACGAGATAACGATAGGGAGCTGACGTACCAAGCAACAAGTCGACAGCAGCACCGGATGGGGTGTGACGGAGGCGGAGAAAAGAAACAATTGCCGTGTGAAGCTGCAACGAGAGCGGGGCACGACTGAAGTAAGTCGAGGTAGGTCGACCAGTCAGTCTATGCGGGGTCGAGTCAGGAAGCAAACGTCAAGCAAGCTCAGAGCACGTCGAGGTGTCGAGCTCTGCTGGGCCAAGAAAACTGGTGGTGCTCAACAAGCCTTGGGGACGCGGCGAGCTAAGCGCAAATCCCGAGGTTATCTCGATGTCGAGGACGATCCACAGCGGATGGATTGGACTATGGAGCTTGCCGACGGGGCAGAGACGGGACCGTAGGAAGAAGGAGAAGGGTAGGAGTTTGGGACGAAGATGGGTTTCAAGTTGGCGGAGAGCCTGATGATAAGAAAGGGCAGCGGCAGAGAAGTAGCAAGGGCAACACGAGACAGACAGACGGACGCTTGTTGGCTGGATCCGTCTGGGAGGTAGGGGCAGCGCAGAGCAGCAATGAACAGCAGCAAGATGATGAGCGAGATCAACGGAACACGAGACTAGGAGCGACGGAGGAATAAGTAGGTAGGGGAGAAAAGGGAAGGGAAGGGAAGGGAAGGGCAGAGCAAAGTAAACACCCCTCCTCATCCAACCCGGCACCATTGCAGGTTCCTTTCCGCCGTGGTAGATCCATATCGAGTAGTGTGTGATGTACCTGTCGGTGTCGTGCGGTTCGCAGCGTCTGCCGTTGCAAAGTCACCCTCCATCACGGAATAGTGAGGTCACGGCCTGCAACCACCAGCCATTCACATGCGTCGGCCAGAGTTTTGGCAGAAGTCGAGCCAATGTCGCTGCGCGTCCCTTACGCATTGCGGGGTTGGCAGTACACCATCAACAAACACCATCTTCGGCAACCTGGATCAGTGAAGTGAGGGGGTGAGGGTAGACGAAATGATAGACGCCGCTAGCGACGACCGAGCACGCGGGAATCTTGCTCTGCTCGAGGGCTGCTGGCGCCGCCGGTGAGCAGAAACGCGAGGCCCAGAGTGTTGGGGAAGCCAGCGGCGTGTGGCTGAATGAATGCCTCCGACACGGGTGGTCATGGTGAATCTGTGCCACTTCAGGCCAAGCAGCTCCTGTTGGCCGAAGGTACAGGTAGGTAGGCTTTTTAGTACCTCCTGCTCGTGCATCTGGCGTCATAGCAACCTACTAGTAATTAGTAGCGTCCATAGCTCCTGCCTGCCGGATCACCTGCCAGCTCCTTCCACCACTCCCGCCGCATCCTCCTCCAATAATGCAATTCCCTCCCAAAACCTCCTCAGACACTGTTTGCCAATTCCTACACGCCGTCCAAGAACACCAAGCAACGGTCCTGTGCCACTTTGTTGGGGCAATCTTCTGCTGCCGCCGGACTAAGTACACTGATGGAAATAGCAATACTACCCGGCACGACTCGAGCTATCAGGGTTCGGCCAGTTTCAGGGTTCAAACATCAACAAACGAGCCTGGACGCTGGACCCGACTCAACAAGTTTCCGGGTCCTCGATGCCGGAGCCCCCCCGCCCTCTCTTCCTTTCTTTGAACAGTGATTGTCGTCTGCTTCCCGCGGGTTCTCATGGCCCATACCAATCGCTAATTGAGCATCCATCGTTGCACCCGCACTGGGTCTAGCCCCGTCGTGGTTGGTCCATGCAGATTGCTTGTGCACGCAGCTCGACACTCAAATGCCAGCGCCAAGCCCAACGTCACCGTGCACCACCGTTAGAGACGGGCTCGGCGTCGCATCTCCCCTATTCCTACATCTCCCGACCACGGGTATGCGGCTTGATGATGGCTGTCTCTGGCGCAGCGCCGGCCGGACTCCGCAGTTGCCACCGTCTACAGAATCTCAGTCAAGATCAGAATCTCGCGTGGACGCAAATCCGAGGCGCCAGCCCGACGCAGAGTCCGAAACATTTGGTCCAATGACACTCTTTTCCGGCACCATAAAGCCAAGCCGCTCCTGGGCCCTGCCCATGCAAAATCCAGGCAAATCCAGGCCCTAGGCTGCAGATATTCCCACTCTTGCGGTTCCGGCCGGCCGCGGTGGACCCTTCCGTTGATACGGAATTTCAATCCAATCTCGTCAGGAGCATCTTGATACACCATTCCGTGCCTCCGTCCGTCCGTGTGTCTGGACATTCGTCCCATGTTGAAGGAATCCCTGACCTGAACCTCCAACAACTGAGCCAAGAGGCTACCTGTTCAATGCACGCCCACGTCGCCACCCTCTCAGGAATCTTGTCTTGGTTTCACATGCCATCATCCAGTCGGTGTGCGGACATGCAGGCCCGTAATCAGAGGGCTAACCCTTTGGGTTAAGCCTTCATCTTCGTCTTCCATGTCTTTCCCTTCTACATCCTGCTTGTCTTGTCTTGTCTTCTTCCCGAACGGCCTTTTAATTTCAAGCAGAATGTAAGCCAGCAACTCGTGGGGTCATCTCGTGGGGGTCGTTTCGTGGGCGCCCATGGTTTTCCTACTTTCGACCTCCTTGCTGTTCCTGGACTAGAGCGGAATATCTTGAGCTTGGAACCTTGTCCAGTTCCTCCAACCCTTGCTGAGGCTTCCAAACCGCCGGGCCCCTTCAGGTAAAATTAATGGCTCAATCTCACAATCACCACCCAGCACTGACGGCCCCGGCGAAATTCGAGACCTGTTGATGCTTGCGTACCGAAACCTTCCGACATGACCATCACCACTCCGCTCAACGGAGCAACCCGTTCCTATGCCCGTCTTGTTTCCCGGATCAGACTCGGTCGCACGCGGTTAACATCGCTTCCCGTCGACACAAAGGCCGTGGCTTCGT